TGCATGTGAACTTCGACTCACTAGCTGTATGAACCTGGGCAATTTTCTTAACCTCTAGGCCTGTTTCTTCATTGTAGAAAGAATAACACCCACCTCTAATGGTTGATAAGATTAAAGAAAACGATACATGTATTGTGAACAGTGTTCTACACACAAAAAGGCTGGATTATGCATGTCTAGGGGGAGGGAAAATGGAAGGGAGGGTACATGATGGATGTGCAAGGGTTGCAAAAATCACAGGATAAATATGATGCATTGTCCTAAAGCTTTAGTATAACTTGAGGATTTGAGAAAACATTTTATACAAAAATAAAGATATACTGTGGCATACAATTGAAAACTTGAATAAATATTTAATACAATACAAGAGAGTTCAATTAAAATTTTCTCCCGGGAGCCTAGGGCTGTTCAGAATATGCTTCCCCATAGCCCTTGGGTAGTAAAAATTCTCTTTTCTTCCCTACATGCTTCCAGTAAAAAAGTCTAGAACCACTGTATGCACTAAATGATATTATTATTCAGTTACTCCCCACTTAAAAAGTCTTCCAGTGGCTCCCCAATGCCCTCAGTACGAAGTCTGAACGATGAACACTGGCATAGAGTCCTGGTTTACCTCTCCAACTCATTTGTCTATATTCCCTCACCAACGTTCTATGGCACTGCAGTCGGCCAAGAGTACCATACTTTACCTCCTTCATCGCTGGACTTTTGTCTGAAACCATTTTTGCTCCCTGAATTTCACCATCCCTGACCCCTACAACTTCTTTTCCCTTGGCCAACTCCTTTAATTCTTGGGTCTCAGATAAGAATCATTTCCTCTGGGACTCCTGAGTCCAACTCATTTTCTTCCACGGCTACACCAGGATCCCCCTGCAAGACCTCATTACACTTAATCACTATCCCGACTGTGTTGCCTTTTCCACTGTACTATTCAGCGCTCAATAAACTTCTGAATTAACTAAGTTCATGAATCCAGGCGTCTATTAGTGGGAGGATCCAAGAACAAGAATCTTTCGGCACTAACTCAACAGCGATCTCTGCCCATCTCCTGGGTGGGAAAGGGCCTCAGGACTGGTAACTACACTCTGCCCCAGCCCAAGTTCCAGGGCCTGGCAAACGCCAGACTGACCGAAAGGGACGCCAGCTTCGAAACACAGCCCAAGGACGCGTTCCGATGAACCACCACCATCCCAGAGCCACGACCTGTCTCTGGCAAACAACGCCCGCGCGCACCCAGGGCCCGGCCGGGCGGAAGTGCCTTGCGCCCCGCTCCGCGCACGCTAGGTAGTTCCGCGGTCTAGGGGGCAGTGTCCGTCGGGAGGGATGGGGGTGGGTGGGGGGAGTCCTCACGGAGCAGGCGTGCGCGTTGGTCCGTGTCCCAGGAGGGGAATGGCCTAGAGACGCAGAAAATAAGTCCCTGAGCCTTCTCACAAAGAAATTCAGCCTCCAGACAAGCGAGAGGTCACCAGTCCCAGAGCTGCTCCTCACCCCGGCTCCGCACGCCGTCCTCAGCAAAGGCCCCGCTAACTGGGAAGTCAGCACAGCCGCGTCGTCAGCGTCCTCGCAGCGAGTCCAGAATACTCGAGACAGCGGCCAGATTGACGCCGGAAACCTAACCCAGGACCGCACCGGAAGTTCCGCCTCTTCCCGTCCATCTCTGCCCCATCCGCCCAGGATTTCCTCCCAGTCCCCGACAACCAGTACCGGGTCTACTCCTGTTCCTTCACCGCCTTCAAGGAGAACGAGTTGTTCTTGACACCCACGTCTTCCAGGGCGCGACCTGCCGGGCCCAGATGCAAGAGGAAAAACAAAAACCTCTACCTTTGCCCAGTAGCTTTTTCCCATTCCACAGCACCATTGTTGAACCAAGTTTCATTGAATAACTTTCTTTGCTGCGACTTCTCCCTCATTCCCAAGGAGTAACTCAGGAGTCATCTCCTAGATACTTTCCTTGAAACACTCAATCTCTGCGGTCCTGCTTTCTTACCTGAATAGCATCTGGCACTTAACTGCTATTAACCACGACCTCAGGTGGTGTTCCTCTTTCCTGCAACAGTTATCCCAAAACTTTACACTGTCATTTCCCACCCTACCTCTCTTAGAGAGTGCTACCACAGGCCTTGCCTGTCATCTAGAAGGGAGTAATATATTGGGATACGTAAAACCACCTCCCTCACTGCTCCCCTCCCCGACACACGTTGGGGATCTCTACTTACCTTTCAAATAAACTACTTGTGTGCAGAGGTGGTCATTTTATGTACTTTCTATGAAAATAACTAAATGAAAAACTCTGGAGCAATCTGACATAATAGATACACACCCTGGTTCATATATATGGAACTCTGACAAAACTGCTGCTCTGCCCTTGACCTGAGACTCACAAGCTGCTAGAACACCATCCAAGGTCACCTCTGCCCAGTGCTGCTGTCAGCCATGTTGCGAGCTATAACTCTTTCTTCCCTGGACTAGGGACCCTCTGCTTTTCCCCTCCACTGGGTCCAGAGGTTGTTTTTGTTGTACTCATATTTGTTAAGTCTCGTTTTTTGTGTAAGGGCCTACTTGGTTGAAGGAAAAGGAACCTGTTCCTAGTTTCCCCTTTAGAACTGGGAGCCTGTTTTTGACCAAATTAAAACACCGCCAAAAGATTTTAAGCAAGCAAATACTACTAAGACATGCATTTTTTTTTTTTTCTCTAAATACTTATTCTGTCTGCACTAAAGAGAATGGATGGGAGTGGTGCCCAAATGTGTGAGACCAGATAAGAAGCTACTGCAGGGTTACAAGAGAGATGCTTGAATTGTGTGGAAACAAAGCAAAAAAGACAAAGTCAAGAGATCTTTAGGAGGTAAAACAGTCAGAAATTGGTGGTAGATTAGATTGATGGTAAGGGAGAGGAAGGCATCAAGATAACTACTTGGTTCCAGGTTTGGCAACTGAGTAGTATAATAGATGGTGTCATTCATTATGATGTGGAATATTGGGAAGACTGATATCTTCCTTCTAATCAAGACTCAAATGGCTTTGCTTGCCAAATGGCCAAATGAGTAAAGAAAGGATGAGACCTCAAAAGGGAGGGGCTGATTTGGGGGGGAAAAAAAAAGAAAGCAGTATCAGAACCGAAACAAAAAGGATTCCAAAACTTATCTTGATTATTAAAACCCTTGGGCATTGCCCACTGTGTGTCCCAGGTCCTTGCACAGAATGTTTTCACAGTATCTGATATCTCATGACCAATCAGAGGCCAAGAAAAATTTTAGCAAAAAAGAATTCCATTTTGCTTGGTATCAAAATTTTATTAGTAGTAATAACTTTTAAACTGTAAGTCAATGAGAAAGTGATTCATTTCACCAAAAACATTTTACTTCAGGAGAACATCTCTTTCATTGAGGGGCACCTAGAATCAAACTAACATTTGATTCTAGGTGCCCCTCAATGAAAGAGATGGAAAAATATATATGTATCACCTGGAGCAGACTTCTGAAAGTTACTGACCATTTTTTAAAATGAAACAATGAAAAACAACTAAAGTCTTAAGAATTTTAAGTCATTTGATAAAAGGTTATGCTTCTTACTCAAATATATTGCTTACTGTTTCCTGCCCACCTCTTCCCCCTTAGCCATTCTACTACTCAAATATATTGCTTTCTCTCAATTCTTTTGATGAGTACATAAACATGTATGTGTAGGTGATTACATATATCTATAGAACACAGATCACCGTGCATACTGTTATCTAAAACTGGAGTTTTTAAGACAGCCTTTTAAACCATGGTTTTGAAAAGTTGTAGTTTTGTGGAAGTGCCTTAGGAAACTTGACAGAGTTTGGTGGAGGCTGAACAGTGGGCCTCTGGGCCCAATCCCTGCTTCAACTAAAAATAAATAAATGGACCTTCTCTAATCTGTTTTAGATATTGAAGCATTACAATTGTTATTACACCTTTAAAGGTCTCATTCTGCTGTTAACAAAGTTTGAAAATCAGTGTACTTGATTAGAGTATGAATCTGGTTAATATTTATAGACTAGAGCCAAGATCTTTCACAACAGGTAGGAGGCATACAGATGCGGGGCCAGAATACACAGGACCATAAACGTCACGGATATTTGGAGTCCAGAATGATCACAAATTGTTAATATAGAGAATGGCTAAGGGGGAAGAGGTGGGCAGGAAACACAGACTTAAATTAATGTCTACTAAAACAAGGTACCATGGTTACCAAATCACAACTGCTCTGGGGAAACCAGGGTTAACCTGTGAGAGCTTATGTACCTTCTTTCAGGCACATTAAAGCCAAAAATGTGTAAGTGGCCTCCAGAGATGAAATACTTTGATGTTCAGTGCTTCACTTTCCTCAGAACTGCTTTGCTACAAAATACTCTGAGCTTGCCCTGCTTGACTGCTCCCCAGTGGAGTGTGAACTTGGACAGTATCCCAACACTAAATGAGCATGAAGGTATGTTGAAATCTTACATGAAAATGGCATCAAGACAAGGTCTCTCTTTTCTTTCTAGAGTTCCTGTATGGCTCATAGCCTGTGGATAAATGGGAGTACCCTCAATTAACTGCTGCTTTTTAATCTGTTCAGTGGCTGAAGCTTAGACTCATGCATCAGCTGTTTGTAAGAACACTGCCTCTAAGTGCCAAATATGTTACCTACATCAGCCAAGTAATCAACTATGAATCCCTGGTGCATTTCTTTGGTTCAGCTGCAAGCCCACAACCCAGAGAGAATCTATCTCTAACTCAGGGTTGGTCAACAGGCATTCAATACCTGCTTTAAAATTTCTGAAGTAACTGAAGTCATAGAATAAAAGTTGCTCATGAGTCACTTTGATGTATGTCAGCAATTCAATTCACTGAAGAATAAAATGGATTGTGAATGTTTACTTTCATTAAATCTGTGCTCAGTGATTTCACAGCAAAGAACATATTTAAGTGTTACATACAAAATGAGAATTTTGTTAACACTGACAGGTATATATACTAAGGTACAAAAACAAGTGCTTGACTTGGAAATTTAACTTTATTTACAAATCTTTTCCTATAAACAAAGATGCCTTTCCACCCCCTTTAAAATATTATAACTGATAATTTCCAGAAAAAAACATTTACATAGTTTTACTCTTTCTGCATCAAATTGTATTACGGGATGAGCAAATATGGGATGGTTTAAGACACAAAAATAAAACAAAAAATAACTTATCCAGCATGAATGCCCTATTGACAGACAGAATGAAGAATTAAGAATCACACCCCTTAATAAGCTATTCCAAGAAACTGAAACATGATAATTTTGGGAGAGGTAAATGCTTCACAATAAAGTCTTCTTACACAGTACAGTTTAATTGTGATTGTTTAGAATTGCTCTTGCAGGCCAATATTTATGCTGATTTTAAAAAATAAGTCATCATTGTAAAAAGGGCATAGACTCTTCTACACAATTTTTCTACCAATGAATATATGTAGACACTGATTTGGCCTCATCACTCAGATACATTAGTAAAATAATGAATGCATGAAAAGAACATAAAACAAAAACAGAATCATCAGGTGACTATCTGACTTATAAATTTAGAATTCTCCCTAAAATCAGAGTATTGCTCCTCAACAGTTACCATCAATTTGAATTTTTCATAACCAAGACAATATATAGGCAAAAATATTTAACCAAAGAGTTCAAAATAAAATTATCCAAATTACCTTTTTATCATTTCCCATGTAGTACTTTAAAAAACAACATTTAAATTTTATCTAGGAGGATAATCACTCTCACATCATAGCTAAGTCACTAGGAATTTCAAAACTTTGCGAAAAAATTCATCCCTGAGAAGTGAGAGAGAAAAAACTCTAAAAACACAGAGTGACAGTGCTGTACCTTTTAACAATCTTCACCAAAGCATGAACTTATTATTAACAGTCAGCAATCAAATATATTCCAGTCTTGAATAGCTACTGCCTCTGATTATCTGATCTTTTTATAATGAAACTATAACTGCAACTTTTAAAAAATCAGATAAATAGGGGACTCTGGTTTTATTTTCAGGTTTATATTCTTGTCAAGTCCAAGGTCAGCCAGCTAGGATATGCATATTCCAATAAAGATCGAAGTAATAACTTCTACTGGCATCTCTTCTTCTGAGTCTCCATTTCCTCCATTGATCTTTACCCAAATAGTAAAAGTAATACAATTGCAACTGAGTTTACTATTATCAAGGGCGCTGCAAAGAAAAAAAAGTCGTTACTATAAAGAAAATATCAGAAAAAAACTCGATCAGTTACTAGCATCCAGAAAAGATAGAAATACTTAAACAATAAGTCATCATCATCATGTTGTAAATACTTATAACAGGAACATTCGAACATGCACTGGATCCAAAATCCAAAATTTTAAAGAGGGCTTGTGTGGTTGGGGATAAGGATCACACTGGTACAACTAGGTCAATATGAAAAAATCTGTGGATAGTGCTGGTGCAGCTCTGAGAACAAGGCAACACACTGGACTTAAGCAGAAGTTGACCCTTATGGCTGCCAGCGACACTTGACATTAGAAATACAGTGCAAAGAAGATTCCATAGCTTCATCACTAAATTAAGAATAAACTTATCATATCCAAAGTTGTGATTAAAGCAGCTCAAAAAAGAGGAAGACAACATAAAGATAGAGAGAGACAGACCCTAATTTTAATGGTTTTAAATAAAAGGTTTGAACTCTTCTTTCTTGAGTTGCTCTAGAATATTTTCTAACAGAACAGCAGATTTGGGACTTTTTTCTCTTGAGAGCCTTTATAGGACTCTAGATGACTTAACTACTTGGAAGCAAGAGAATTTCCAAAAGGCAAGATCATCATTGTCTTTCAACTCTGTGAGGTAACATACAATCTGATTATACCACTGAGCATTCCATTTTCATCTACTGGCTTAGATAGAAATAAGAGGCAAACTAAGAAAGAAACCAATAACCTTTAAGCAATAAAGCCAGGTTGAAGAGAAAAAATACTTCCCACTACAAAGATGGTATGTGGTAGTATTCACACTAGGAAGCTTTGCTAGTTAAATCAAATCACAAAATTAAAACTTAACAGTGCTTCGCTGGTTTTTCTTCTTACCTCTCATCACGGTTCTTACAGATCGAACAAGGTTCATTAGCTGAGATTTAATTCCTGGCTCCTCTCCGAATCCGCCAATTCCCTGGTCTGTTCCCCAGCCAACTGCATAATATAAAAATGATTAGCTGTGTTAAAATTTATTATGCACTCACCTTGCTCCCTCATTAGTCATCCCCTAAAAGATTACCTTGAGCCTTTGTTAAAGACATAAAATATAAAGTCGTAATGACTTAAAAGTAAAAACAATACTAGGTTAAATACTTTATATTTTTTACTTTTGATAAGCAGCAAAAATTCATTTCATTTTCACTTTCATTTTATAAAATAAACTATAGTCTAATAATTACTTCATGGCATTTAATTCAGTAAAAATGACCGTTATGACACCAGATAGTTCTTTTCTTCTTTTTTTAAACAAACAAAACATTTTCAAGTCAGAACTGAAAAAATAAACAAAACTAAAGCAGTGTCAAGTGGAATAATTGGTCCAATTCAGAATTTGTAACATCCAACTTAAATGTCAGTATAAAGACAATGTAACTGAGATGCACTATCTACATTACATGGGAGAAATTTTAAACTAAACCTGGCCACAGCTTGGTTAGGCCTTCAGAGCATGTTGTATCCTGCCAGCAGGGCCACACCTTTTATCTTTGATTATTTATCATTTCTCAGTTTTGAGGTGAGGAATGTAGCCAATTATCCCACTTTCCATAAATGAGCCTTTTACCTTCTTGTACGTCTTTTCTTGATATTATAAATCATTATTTCTTTGCCTTTACCTGCTAATTTTTTATTGCCTTACGCATTCTTCTAAAGACTTATATGCCCTCGTCTCTACAATTTGTCCTTCTCTTGTCCTTATTTCAGGTCCACCTGTCATATCTCATATGACTATACATTTTTTCTTTATCTCATATGACGACAGGGTTTAATTAATTTCTGACACGTTAACTCTTAAACTTGAAGACAGAAAACAAGTCTTTATGTTATATATGGAAGAACCAAGTATCAGGAAACAAGATTTCACTTTGCTTAATGATATTTTGTTTTCGCAGCCTGAGCTGACTAATACACTGTTTCATGTTTCTTTTGTATCACTCATAATTAGCACTGGATGTAATAAATACCTGTCTGAATAATTTTCTAATGTGTGGTTTAAAAAAAACCCAGACTTACTGAGATATAATTCACCTACCATATAGTTTAAAGTATATAATTCAATGGTTTAAAGTATGTTCACAGAGGTGTGCGACCATCACCATGCTCGATTTCAGAACATTTTTATCACCCCCAAAAGAAACCCTGTACCCATGAGCAACCACTTTCCATGCCCTCAGACCCTCCAGCACCAAACAACCACTAGTCTGCTTTCTGTTTCTATATAATTGCCTATCCTGGACGTTTCATACAAATGGAATCATGATATGTGGTCTTTCATGACTAGAGTTTCTTTCACTTAGCATAATGATTTCAAGGTTCACCCACGGTTCACCAAATATAGCATGTATCAATATTTCTTTCCTTTTTATTGACAAGTAGTATTACATATTATGGATATACCACATATTATAGTCATCTATTCTTAGTCAGTGGACATTTGGGTTATTTCTACTTTTCAGCTATTATAAATAACGCTGTTATGAACATTCATGTTCTTTTTATGACTGTTTTCATTACTCTGGCAACACCTAATAGTGGAATCACTGAGTGACATGGTAACCCTTAATGTTTAACATTTTGAAGAACTGTTACTGTTTTCCAAAGCTGCTATTCTGCTTTACATTCCCACCAACAATGTGTGATGGTTACAATTTCTCCACAACCTCACCAACACTTATTATTATGATGTTGTTATTACAGTCATCCTAGTTGGTGTGAAGTTTATCTCATCATAGTTTTGACTTGCATTTCTCTAATGATTAATGATGCTGACCACTGAATCCTTTGCAAAATTTTTAATTGGGTTATTTATCTTTTATTATTGAGTTGTAATAGTTCTCGATATACTCTGAATAGAAGTCCCTTATCATAAATATAATTTGCAAATATTTTCTCCCATTCTGTGGTTGTCTTCTTGGTTCTTGATGGTGTCTTTTAAAGGCACAAAAGTTTTTAATTTTGATGAAGTCCAGTTTATGTAATTTTTCTTTGACACGTGCTTTTTGGTGTTGTATCCAAAAAGGCTTTGTCTAATCCAAAGTCACAAAGCTTTATGCCTATATTTTCTTCTAAGAGTTGTACAGCTTTAGATCTTACGGCTTATAAGTCTATGGTTTTGAGTTAATTTTTATGTTTGGTATGAAGGAGAGGTTCAACTTCATTCTATTTCCTATAGATATGTAGTTGTTCCAGTGCCAGTTGTTGAAAAGACTATTCTTTACCCACTGAATTGTTTTGGCTCCCTTGTCAAAAATCAATTGACCATAAATGTAAGGGTTTATTTCTGGACTCTCAAGTCTGTTCCATTGCTCTACATGTCTATTCTTATGCCAATACCACATGTTTTGATTACTGTAGCTTTGTAGTAAACTTTGAAATCTCAAAGCATGAGTCCTCCAACTTTGTTCTCTTTCAACATTTTTTCGGCTATTCTGGGTCCCTTGCATTTCCTTTAGGATCAACTTGTCAGTTTAAACACACACACGCACGCACGCGCACACACACACACACACACACACACACACACACACACGCCAGCTAGGGTTTTGAAAGACGTTGCATTAAATCTGTAAATCAATATTGTTTGGTATTATCATCTTAAAACATTAATTCTTTTGATCCATGGACATGGGATGTCTTCGTGTTCTTTATCTTTAAAAACCTTTATTCTTTAATTCAAAAATGTCTCGTAGTTTTCATGAGACTCACACTTCTTTTGTTAAATTTATTCCTACTTTATTCTTTTTGATAATATTGTAAATGAAATTGTTTTCATTTTGATTGTTCATGTGTAGAAAAACAGTAACAGATTTTTGTTACTGATCTTGCAACCTTACTGAACTCATTAGTTTTAATAATTTTAGTGACTTTTTAGGACTTTCTATATAAAGATTATGTCACCTGCAAACGAAATAGTTTTCATCTAATTGCCCTGCCTAGAATCTCCACTGCAATGTTCTAAGGGGCAAGAGAGGACATCGTTCTATCCCTAATTGGGGGAAACGCTGTCTTTCATCATTAAGTATAACCTTAACTGGATTTTCCCTAGACGTTCTTTATCAGATTGAAGAAGCACCCACCTATTCCTAGTTTGTTGAATATGCCGGGAGATCATTTCCAAATTGAAATAGCTATTGTCTTGTTTTTTTTTTTTTTAATGTTTTTACTGCGATGATTGTGTGATTTTTGTTTATTTTACTAATATGATTTATTACAAGACCTATATTTGCAACTGCCTACATGACAGCTCCACTTGGGAATCTTAAAGGTACCTTACAATAGGCTAATTCCTATTCCTAATTCGGAATTCGACTTGAAATGTTATTTCTTTAGGAACTGACACTGTCCTGATTCAACCAGGTTACATTCCCACAGTTTTTACTCAGTTCTCTTCCTTCAAAGCATTTATGCCAGGCTCCATGAACTATCTGCATAATTATTTTTTAAAAATCTGTTCTACTGCAAGATATATGAGACAGATATTGTTGCAACTTTTCCTCCTAGCTCATAGGGATTGCTCATTTGTTAAAAGTAATGAAGAAAAACTTCTTGCCACCAAATCTAGGAATCTCCTGCTTCTCCAGCTAATCCTTCCTCCTTTTCCAATGAAGAAAGTATCCAACCGCCTATTTAAAGCCATACCCTCCATCTGTGCCTTAGAATCCATCCCTTTGTACCTCTCAGAATCCTCAGGCTACAAATTACTTTACTTCTCTCCCATATCTTTTCTCTCTCACTACTAGATTCTTTCTATTAGCAATTCCTTTTTTAATTACGAAAGTTTTTAAACATACCTATCATTCAGATTTAATAATTGTTATACATGCTTCATCTTTTTTACTGCTTGAATACTTTAAGTTACTAGTAATATATTTCCCTACTATACTATAATAGTATAATTTATCACATTAACAAAATTTACAGTGATTCTTTAATATCATCCAGTATCCATCCAGTCCATATTCAAATTTCACCAAACGTTCCCCATATGTCTTTTACAATTGACATGTTCGAACCAGGATTCAATCGAAATGCACGCATTGCATATGGGTATCTCCCTTACATCTCCCTCTCTCCTACTTTTGTTATTCTTATATTGTGTATATTTGCCTCAGTGGTCGCTCTCTCCCCATTTTTGCCATGGCATTGACTTGCTGAAGAGACCTGCCTAGTTCTCACTGTCATTGCTGAGACATGCTCAGGCTTCTCCTATCTAAAAACAAAACCACCACCATAAAACACATCCTGGCATCTTCTTCCCGCTACTTTTTTTTTCATTTCCTCTAATGTAGTGATAACTTTGGGTAATCTTGCTGTCTCCGTTTCACCACTGTCCACTTACTTCCACAACCCATTCCAATCTGGATTTTACCCACTACTGTAATTGCTCTTGTAAAATCACTGATGGCCTCTACTACCCTGAATCCTTAAGACATTTTTCAGTCCTTATTTTTCTTGGCTTCTTGAAACATTCCACAGTTGTACTATCTCTTCTCAAACGCTCCTTGGCTTCTGTGAAACTCCACTATTTAGATTTTCTCATCTCTTTGTTTTGCTCACTCATCAGTTTCTCCTGTCACCTCCTCCATCTCTACCTAAACATTAAATACTGGAAGAGATTCTAGGGCTGTCCTGGTCACCAATTCTCTTTGTACTCTTCTTTCCCTGAGCAATTTCATCTCTTCAATGGTTTCATTTATCATCTGTGGCTGACAAACTCAAAGTTCAATCCCTACCCTGGCTCTTGCTTTGTTCTACGGATTTAAGTCCGACAATTTCACATCTCTACTTGCATATCTCAGATATATTCACAAACTCAGCATGTCCAAAACTTATTTCATTATCTCTTCATCTTCTTATCCACCCATCCGACTCCCCCAATTTTCCTCCAGTACTAACTCATAAAGGTACGACTCTTCGCTCAGTTGCTTAAACCAGAAAACCAAGAGGGGTCTTTGACTTTTTCCTTCCTTTCACATTCCCAATGTCCAAACCATAAACATTTGCCTTTTCTAACTTTAAAATACCTTCTGATTTCTAACAGTTTGGGAGGGCTTCGGTAACAGAGCAGCACAAACTGGGTGGCTTAACAAAATGGAAATTTATTTTCTCACAGTTCTGGAGTCCAGAAGTCTTAAATCACAATATTGGCAGAATTGGTTCCTTCTGGGGGCTCTGAGTGATAATCTCATCCATGCCTGTCTCCTAGCTTCTTATAGTTACTGGCAATGCTTGGTATTGGTTGGCTCACAGCTGCATCACTCCAGTCTCTGCCTCTGTTGTCACATGGCCTTCTTCCCCATCTGTGAGTCTGTATGTCTCTATATCTCTCTTCTTATATGGACACCTCATTAAATCTAGGGCCCATCCTAATCCAGGGTGACCTCATTTTAACTTGACTATACCTGCAGAGACCCTATTTCCAAATAAGGTCACATACACAGGCACCAAGAGTTAGCAGCTCAATATATCTTTGGGGTGGGGGGGGAGTAGCACAATTCAACCCATGACATGACCCATTCTACTTTTCTATATGTATAGTGATGAAGAGATGGACTCCTGAGTCAGACTAAGTTTGAATCCTAGGTCTGTCACTTTCTAGCTGTGTGATTTTAGAAGTTACCTACTCCCTTTTATGCTTCAGGTTGCCCATTTGTAAAGTGGGGTTGAAAACATTATCTATCTCACAAGGTTATCGACAGTGTTATACATGTTAATATATGTAAAGCACTGGATACAGATCCTGGCATATAGTATTAAGTATTAGTTATTATTATTGTTGTTATTATGCCCACTCAACTGATAGTACACCCAGCATCTCTACTGGCCCTATTCGGGATGGTGCTTCCCACATCTGGTCATCTACCCTTTCTATCTGTACTCCATACTGCAAACAACACAAATCTTGCCAATAACACAAATCTGGTCATGTCATTGTCCTGCTTAAGCCTTATTTTCACCTGCCGTTTTCATACCAACTCTTATTTCTTACCCTCCCAATTTCTTACATCCTCTCCCCTTCACATAGTTAATGTCTACTCACTTATCAAATTTTGGGTTAGACACACTTCCTCCAAGAAACTTTCACAGATTCACAGGTTAGTATCTCCCTGCACTTCTCTTTCATAATATTCTGCATCCTTATTGTTACTTGTTCAATTTCACTTGGGTTAACTTCCATTAGGAGGGCAGGGTAACTTCTGTAACCCTAGCTGTTTCATGGGCCTGGCACATAATTTGGGCTCAATAAATCTCTTCTTAAGGAATAAAATGAATCAAACTTATTCACGGGTTTTAGTTTCAGTGATTCAGAGATATATTTGGTATACTGCAACAAATGATGCACATCGTGCAGTATCCTGCCTCTATTCTGCCTCACACAGCAAGAAGTGGCCTGCCCAGGATGTCACGGAGATCCTGGTTAGCAGAAATCGTTTGTTGTTCTTTGTACTCTTAGACCGTAGCACGGCTCCTGGAGCATGGTAGGCATCCAAAAATCTGGGCTGGATAAATTTTCCTTGGAACACTGGTGACTGGATGTCGTGATCATACCAACACTTTCCTTTTCCTTTTAGCCCCAAAGCCCGGGAACCCCTATGGCCTTCTGTGAGTTTATTCTCCTAATTACCTATGCTCCAAATGAGCCACACTCCTTTCTCTTTAACTGAAAACTCAGACCTAGGTTTCTGACCATTAAAAGTGGTCACAGGAAAGTGCATCGAGCTACTAACCTAAACTAACTGCAGGCAGGGGCGTCGCTGGCACGCCTCCGTACCGTCCCCCATTCCCACTCGCAAGGCCCTGCACACAGTGAGCGTCTGTTAAACAATCCTTACTCCGCTGCTGGATTCAAACCTGGTGAGAAGAAAGTGGCTCGGCTTCCCCCAGCAACGAAAGGCCCCAAAAGCCAAGCTCTTGGCGGCTCGTCTGTCCTGGCCCTGGTAGTCCCCTCACGCGGCCTGGCTCTGGTCCGCGCCCCAGGGACTCTGCCGCCACCTCTGCCCGGCCCCGCGGACCCACTCACTGTTCTTGAGGAAGCGCTCCTCGTGCAGCACGGCGATGGCGTTGACGCAAAGCAGGGCCGCCTGCAGCAGCGAGTACAGAGTAAAGGCCATGACCGCCGGGAACCGACCAGACGCCCAACTGATTTTCCTGCAGCCGCCGCGGGGGACGTGGCACCGCCACAGCCGGCGCTCTCCTACGGGAGCCGGTGAGGCCCAAAAACGATTTCCAAGAAGCTCCACCCCATCTGGCTAAGACCTGCCTCCCTGCCCACTGCAGGCAGGGCGTGTCTGCTTAGCTCGTCTGGACGTGTGCTGTCCAATGCTGGAGCCGCATGTGGCTGTTACACCCTTGAAATGTGTCTGGTCCGAAAAGAGGTGCTGTAAGTGTAAAATACACCGGATTTGAAAGACTTGGCATGAAAACAAGAACGTAAAAGCTCCCAATAATTTAAAAATGTTGATTACATGTTGAAATATTTTGAATATATTAGGTAAATATTAAAGTACCATGAATTTTTACTGTTTCTACTTTTTTAAAAATGTAGCTATGAGGACATTGATAATGTAAGGCTTGCATTATATTTCTATTGGACAGTGCTGTACTACGTGCTCCCAAGAACTGTATGAGATATTAACATTCCTATTTTACATATGAAGAAACAGAGGCTTTGTCAAATAATTTTAAAAAATGAAATAAAATAACGTATCTTAAAATTACTCGGTGAGAAACATCCTCTCCTTGATCAAACTCTAATCCGGCTCCTCTGAGAACTCTTCATGACTAAGGCTCAACACAAATGATTTAATCCACACCTCTATTCCCACATTAAAAGACTTAAACATTAACATAGTTTCTAACAGCTCAAGGCCACATCCCTAAAATGACCCCATAAGGAGCCTGCCTGAGAAAGCTTAAGGCTTGCCAAAAGAATTTACTTTGTTCTGGCCAACACCTGAAAATAGGCCCAGGCCTCCCTTTCTTAAAGCATTTACTAAAAAGGGCTTACAACTGTGAATCCTTCCTTTGTCCTTTTGAGATGCATATGTACCTCCAACAATTCATAACTTTGAAGGCCATAACTTTGAAATGTAGTCATCAGAAAGGATAGGCCTCTGTCTCCCAGTCTCTCTGTAGGAGGGAAGAATCCTAACTTTGTTAATTGCCAGCTAAGAGACACTGCTGGCCTAATCAACATTTACACTGATCACCCTTTGTATTTTTCACTTCCCTGATTCTACTGAGCCCCATGCTCACCTCCTTTTCTACTCCCTCAGTCTCCCTTTGAAATGCCCAGTCACCTCTGTACAAATCAAAGTTGAGTTCAGTTCACCCTTAACCCTCTTCCCTATTGCAAAAGTATATTACTGATTTAAATCTGTCTTTACCACTCTAATTTGTGTACAGCTTTGTGTATCTTTGATGGCAGCAGTAAAAGCCTGCATCTGATTATGTTAAATTTTAGATCTTGTTTGAGGGCAATACAATATGCCAAGTAATCACCTCCTACGGTTCTCAGGGTCCCCTAAATAGAAAAGAGGAAAGCAGCACATTAGTCTCAAAAAGCACTTTGGAAGCCTGTAAGTTGTGGCTGCTGGAAGAGACACAGCCCCCTGCCCAAAGAAAAAAAGAATGATTAAACTCCCAAGAAGAAATTAAGCTTAAATAGGTCAACCAGTTAGTGCCTATAGAGAAGAAGAGATATATCATTTCCCATGGGTGTACATAAACCCTGTCTCCAAAATCAGCCCTAAGTGCAACTCAGGTAGGGAGAGACACAGGAAGATAATAAGTAAAGAGAATAAACAAAATAACAGGATACCAACAAATCTTTCAGTTTTTCAAGGCCCACAAAACACTAGACACTGGTGGAAGATTGTTCCTATAAGTGGACAGTGAGCACTACTGGATTTCTACACTGGACTAGGTGGGGGCAAGGAGCACCTAAAGGACCCTGTTTGGAAGCTTTTCTTGATCAGCAAATCACAGTTTCTACTAGACTGTGTTTACTGAGAAGAGAAGGAGAAGGATGACTGGATATTATAGAGATGAATGGACTAGACTGGAAGTAAAGCCTGCCACAGTTACTCCTATGTGTTACTCGCCATTGGGTTACAACTTACTTGACCCAATTCTTTTATTGTCAAAAGAATAAGATTAACCTCTCTAAGCCTCTGTTACTTCATCTATAAAATTGGGTGATTATGATCTCTAAGGCTCCTTCAGCCCCAGAAATCTCTAGATCTAGCAAAAGCAGCTTAAAATATAAGATAGTGTAGAAGTACTAGTACCATGTTATCTGATTCATTATTTTTCAAAAACCCAGATTTGCGTCCTAAGCTGATAACAGCATATTAAATTCTTAAAAAGAATTATTCCTCTGATTTTCATACTTCCAAAGATATTCAAAAGCCTGGAAATTTAGATATGTATAAAATAGTTTTCTTGGTATTTAAAAAAAAATCTGCCTCCAAACAAAGAACAGAGTGAAATGCATATTCTGCATCTAAGCAGCTTGAAAAAAAATGACTTACTATGGCCTATTTAAAATTAGAACTTGTTGTTTGGTGCTGAGCTTCTGATGTCTATATGATACATTCATGTTTGATATCCTATCAGACACACTATTGCTGAAGATTAAACTTTCCTCAATTTCAAACACAGACATCTCCTTATCATTTACTTCATTATGTTTTGTTTTGCTCTTTTTTCTTCAAACTGTTAGATGGCACACTTTGGCATCTTGGAGTACCTTGCCACAGACTTCCTTTGTAACTAGTAATACAGAGTCAATGTTTTCATTTCTTGGACCAAAGAATAGATGCCTTCAATACAGTTCCATTAGGCAAGGGAGAGCAATGGTTAAGATTGTGTCTAGGGTAATCTTGTTTGGTTCCTGATTAGATCTGGAGGTCCTTTAAAGTTAAGATGCTCCAGGATGTACTCAGTCCTTGGACTTTTGAGATTGCATGTTGAATCCAAAGTTTTACTCTTCTCTGTAACAATGCCTTTGCCTTATAATTTTACTGATCCTTGACTTTGAGTTCAGTTATATGACTTACTTCGGCCAATAGAATAAGGAGAAAAAGTTGCTGTGCCAGCTCTGAGCCTAGACCTCAAAAGGCCTATATGCTTCTGCTTTCTTTCTTGTGCCTCTGACATTGCCATGAAAACAAAACAAAACAAACAAAAACATACCTGGGTCAGTCCTCAGATTCTAGGAGAAGAATGAGAACACTTGCTTGAAGCTGAACCAAAGGACCCCAGTCAAGCCCAGCCTAAATTAGCAAATCCTCATCCAACCACAGATCCATGAGAATAACTGATTGTTATTTTAAATCACTAAATTTGGGGGTTGTTTGTTTCACAATATTTTTGAAGCAACAGATCTCTACTCTACCTGCAGTCATTCCTGTGGTGATCTAATTTATTTTAACGGCTTAAAAACATTTATATACTCTGAAGACTCCTAAATTTATATCTCCTACGCAAAATTCATCCATGAACTCTTGGCTGATATTTCCAACTGACTACCACTTGGTTGTCTAATAAATATCTCAAACTTACCTTGCCCCAAACAGATTTCCTGATTTCCCCCTGAAATCTATTCCTGCTACAGTCATCACATTTCAGTTAATGGCAACTCCATCCTTTTAGTGGTTCAAGGAAAAATCCTTGGCTTGTCCTTGTCTCTATCTCTTTCTCTCTCACCCTGTGCACAATCCATCAGCAAATTCTTTTGACTTTAACTTCAACATTTACCCAAAGGTGACCACTTGTCACCTTTATCATCAAAGCCCAGGTTCAACCCACCATTGTCTCTTGCATAGATTAGTGCAATAGCTCCTAAAAGGTCTCTATGTTTCCACCTTTGTCTCTCTGTAGTTTATTTTCCCCCAGAGTAGCCCAAGTACTTCTTTTAAAGCCAAGTAAGGAAAACAATTTATTTCTTAAGAGAACTGGGTCCTTTGTCTTGTATGTAGAACTTGCCTCATTCTGGATTTTGCTAATTGCATCCCCATAGTCCTGGCTGAATTAAATGCGTAATACCTGAATCATCTATAATAAAAAGTGAAAATGCTTTCTGCTTAAAGAAAATAGTCACTATTTAAACTGACTAAAACCTTTCACTAACTCAATAAAAAATATCAGGAATGTGGTAAAGACAAGAATTTTTACAAGTTAGATCTTAGAATAATTCTTCAATAAATGTGTTGTCTGCTCTTTTCCCATTCATATTTTTAATTTTCAGCATTTTTATTTTTGCGTTTATTAAAAATAGTTCATTAAGGTAAGGATTACGCATGTTATTTATTAAAAATTTAGACTCACCTTGAAGAATGATAAAAAATGGATTTTATCCTAATATATTTTAATAGGTATATTTATCTTATTGTCTTTTTATCCTAATATATTTTAATAGGTATATTTATCTTATTGTCTATGTCTGAATATGAATCAATGATGACTGAGGTATGTTTGCTTTTAATCCTGCTATTTACAATGGCAACTTTGAGACTAAATGGGTTTATGGCAGCAGAATTCACTCAAATGGTTTCTATTTGAGGTAAGCATTGGGCTAAAATAGGAAAATCCCACAAGAAGAGCCTCATTCATGTTTATGGATTCATACAAGCTATTCCTGGTATGAAACTCAAATGAAACCATTGGCAAGCTAAAAGCTTGTGCATTATGAAGTGTTTCTGGAAATAGGGCTATTGGAAATGGAAAGTTTCTTTAAAAAAATCAAAATGAGTCACTGTATCTATTTTTAAAGGGGATTAATCTTGAATGGCTACATAGAGCTGACTAGCTCTATTATTAAAACAACAACAACACACCTGAGTAAATAAAAGCAGAATAAAAAACTAGAAAAAGTACTTATTCAAATGGATATCATACCTTCACTCAGGCATTCATTTTTTTTTTTTTTTACTCAAGAAGAATTTATTGAACTTCCAAGGTGTGCCTTACATTGTGCAAAGTAAGATGCAGTAGGTGAAACACAAATAATAGTCAGACATGCTTCTGCTCTCATGAAGACTACCAACTAGTAAGAAAAATGAGCCCTAGAATGTAAGGAGCAAATGCTCAGTGCTTAAAATAAAGAGAAAGTAAGAACAAAAGATAGTTTAGAATGGGGTCTCCCAAACTTGGCCCATCATCAGAATCACCTGGGAGCTTTTAAATATACATGCTTTTCTTCTAATTCAAG